CAGAGTTATCTACAATCACTAGAGGGTGTATTTCTCAGCAGCGAAACTACCTCAAAGAAATTGCACATGGGACGCATGCATGCAGAGGGCATCAAGCCACTGGACACCTTTAAGAACTCAATACATGGTTGTAACTATCACCTGGTGTTAAAATTATCTCCAAAGAATCACTTAATGCATCTGGTTCTGTTTTCAGATGAATTTGGATTACTTTTTATGCAGGAATGGCGGTCGCGAACTGGTGAGATGACATTCCGAGGAACATCATCTGCCAGGCCATATCGTTGAGTATCATACTAATCCCACACCAAGTGAATTATTTGGAGTGGCATCATGTTCAGGTATAGGACATTATTTGTCCACATTTCTGGCTGTTTAACATCAGATCAATCAGTAACACAAGTTACTTTGCCTATGAACCAAACATTTGTGCAGGGAATTTCTCTATATGTTATTTTAAAGAGCAATGCCTGGTTTAATATCCCATGACAATTCCCGGTCTCCTGATACATGTCAAACTCTTATTAACCTTAACGGAATTGAAATCCCTACCTAGCCAGAAACCTCACCCAATCTATCTCTTATTGTGGATATATAAGCTCTTATTGAATATGTGCTTAAGGTGTATCAGACATCCAAAGCGCACATCGTATTTGAATGAGATCTGCAATGATTTTAGCTTATTGAAAAATATCTCAAGGATCCATTATTAGTCTATTTGACAGTATGTCTTGCCATTCAAAGGCCTGAATAGTCTTATGTGGGAGCTACATTAAGTACTGTATAAATAGTTTTCTAGTGTATATTTTTGTTTATTTTTGTAATAATTTTCTTGTAAGTGTTCCTGCTAAATTCAGGTAGCTGTATATGCATTCTTTCATGGTATTACTGCTTCTATTTTGAGATATATATTACATAATATACAATTTCAAAATATCACAAAATATGCAATTTTGTGTGAAAGAAACTTAATGTATATATATATATATATATATATATATATATATATATATATATATATATATATACAATTATTACTATTATTATTATATTAATAGATAAAATTGAATTTAAAAAAAGAACGAAAATTGTATAGGAAAGTACAGATGTAAAGGTTTTTATAACTGGAAATTATATTGTTACGAATTTTGTATAAAATAAAATATATAATTTGTATTTAGATGTGCAATGCATTTATATTACTCTATGCTATATTTATTTCATGTTAAATTGTAATATTCACAAGCAACTCCGTCCCTTACGTTATAATGGCGATTCAATTGGAACTTGGCGAAATATTAGCGACGGAGCCAAGTTGGCATCATTTTTGGCAACAAAGTTGGCGACCAATTTGGTGACTTTGGCGACCCTGTTGGCGAGTTTGGGACCCTCTGGATTCTTTTAGAAATTAGAGAAATCCACTAATTTCACGATCTATGACGCGAGCGCAACTTTCTCGAAGTTTCAGCCCCGGCTATAAATAGAGAGATACTCGCCGCAACAGTCAGTCTGGTTTCAATCAGCGAGTAGTGAGTCCGGTTTTGACTAGCGATAAGTAGATTTGCCTTGATTGTGATTAGCTCGGCTGTGCTTGTGAATAAGCTTATATATACGTGTTTTTTAGATACTGATAATTGTGTCTAAGTGCTATTGAAGGTGTGAAATCCTTCTGATATTTATTCTGAGAATTTTGCTGTTGAATCCTGTATTTTTAAGGATTGATTTACGCCAATAAATACTCATCGCTCTTAAAGAGCCGTCTTGTTGTTTACGACTGATTTTGCATAAAATCCTCGAACCCTGATCTATGTAACAATATATTGTAGGTCTTCAAAAAGAAGACTACATTTTCAATTTTTTTCAACAATTGCTCTAAATATAAATTCAATCTATGGAAAGCTGATATTACAACGATATCGTATTTTTACAATTGCCCTCTATGTAACTAATTGTTCTATTTCCATTTAAAAACATCAGTGATTGCTCGCTAGAAACATTGGGTTACTTATTTTTTTAAAATTAAAACTGAATTACATACAATGTCTGAATAAAAACCTATGTCTCATATTCCGTAAATATACCCTGAAAACGAGTTGGACGAATAAAGTAAACGATATGTTGTAAATTATCTGATTAAATGTTTCGCTTTTCTCATAACGAAAAAATGCAAGTATTTTGTTTTTCTTTTTGTAATTGTCTAACGGAAGGTTCTACATATTGATAAAGGAAATCTAATAAGTTATTTTTTCGCACATGAAAATGTAGTTTATGAATTGCTTTGTAATTTTTTCAAGACTCTCATTTACTAAATTTTTTAACGATGCAATTGGATTTGTTCTTCGCTTCCCATCCTCATAAATAAAGAGGTTCTTACAAAAAATGCATTTGCTGGAAGGAAACTTTGATCTCTCTCTCAATGCGTCCTTGTCTTATTAGTAAAATATAAGAAACAGATAAAGAAGCTAAAAATACCTTTCAGTTTCAAAGAAGACATTTCTCAAGTACAGGCTAAAACTATTTTGGCGACATTCGTTCTTCTAAATCTATTTTAATGCCACACATGTTTGCACCATTTTAAAAGTATATAGCAAATCAATAAAAGAAAAGTTTTATTGCAGTGCATTTTGAGAATGTATACACATAAGTATCTAAATTTGTAATACTTTTCTGAAAATTTCATCCTATCCCTCCTATTTTTAGACAATAATCTCAATCTAATGCTATGTTTTTTTGGCATTTAGACTGGCTTAATTCCCTTCAGCGGAATTTTGTCTTTTCGTAAGAGGATATTCGTTACTCCCACGTTGAAAACCAGACTGTAAGTCTCATTCCTAAAATAAATTGCATTCAGTTGCGTCAGTTGTATTTTAGCACACTGAATTAATATATGTATATTTAAAACACTAAACATACCATGAAACTTTAAATGATCCTTTTTATTGAGAATTCATATGGAAACTGATATTATGCCTCAGACATTTGAATTTACTAGTTTTATATATTAAATGCGAAAGAGTGAGTCTTCAATACTCCCTTCCTCTTCACATTCTTGCTATTATTTTTACCATGAAATATATGTACTGTGGCTTATCTAACTCAAGGATAGTCAAAATATGATCTCGGCAGTAAAGTTTTTATTCAGTTAGCTAGCTCCTCTAATGGAACACTTGTAGCTTAACACAGCGTCTCTCAAACTGTGGGGCGCACCCTCGTAGGGGGGCATGATAACCCTACAAGGGGGGCGCGAGTATATCGAAAAAATCAAAAATAAAAGATTATTTTAGAAAAAGTAAATATACTGAAAGTAAGCAAAACAAAATACATTCTGATATAATAAATAAGAAAATACACATTTACACTAATATAATAAACTTATAAATTGATAAGAGTACTGCACAATGTATTTGATAATAAATTTATCAACAGTAAACGAAGAGAGCAAGTTTAATAATTAACACTGACTCTCTCCCATCGGATTGTCATATACAAAAAATATATTCAAAATTTAATATTTATCTTGATAATTTGTGCGGTTATGGTGTTAATTATTACACCATAATTAAAAATGTTACGAATGAGATAAGTTTACATCCATTTCAGAAAGTGAAAATACTAAATATCTTTATTCCTCTCAATCCGTCACCATATTAATATTTCCCGAGCTGGTTTTACAGTTCTAAGGCAAGTCATTAAATCCATTATCAGATTCTTTCATTGCCAAATACAACAGGATAAAAGACTACTAATCTGAACTTAAAAATATAGACATGAATTATTTCTCTGACAAATAAAACTGAATACACTATTCCCAACAAAGTTCTCGTTGAAAGAGGAATAACATACTTAAGCTCACATCTGGCTTTCTTCATCCATCAACACCTGTTACTGCACGGTTTATATAATTAAAGTCGTATTGTAGCTTTCGTATCAAATTGCATTATTATTGGGGGGGGGGTGATGAAAATTATGATAGAAAATTGGGTCGCAAATACTGAAAGTTTGAGAAGCGCTGGCTTAAAAGTTTTACGGACCTGAGTGATGTCCCCCGCCTTCCAAGTAGATTCCATATAACTCAATTTCCAAATGGCCAGTTTGGCCTAAGTCTGTGTAAACTGAAATCAACATGACCTTCAACACCAAGCCATTGTCACAACTAAAACAAGGAACAAAAGATAAACTGTGGAAGAATAACATCTATGACCCTAGAAGAAGAGTTACAGCTGTGCCTATGATATAGCAACATTGCATACCTGTTATCATGCACACCTTCACAAAATCCAAATAGTTAATAGTCCTGCTTATCATTTTGTTCCAATGGAGTGGGGATGAACGCTGGGCATCTCGTCCGCTTAGCGCTTTCTCAGAACAGTGTTTTTTCAAGATACTGGGAGGCTAGAGCCCTTTTAAATATATTGCAGAATTCATCTTGATTTAACATTTCTATGTGTGACATTTCATCCTTTATATTTTTCTTTTTAATTTATTATTCTTTGTACTTCTGGTTTTCTGTGTAAATTATCGTATTTTTAATCTATTGCATTATTATTGTATTTTTATAGCTTTTGGATATCTGTATGGTCGATGGATACTTGCCTATATATTACCAGCTCAACTGAAATTTAAAAAATCTCATCGGGGAACTTGACTACAAGAAGTAAGTACCATAAAATCTGGCGTATAACACGCGCTATTGACACAAACCAAGAAATATATAACTAAATTTTTATTAGTTAATTCTTACTTAGGTCAACAAATAAAAATTTTATTTTAGTTACTTTTCTTTAAATAGTTACAATTAATATAAACATGTATATACACATGAAAGAATCACAATATTAAATGACAAAGTAGAAAACGATTTTCCTTGAAATTTTCCAATTTCCTTTCTATATATGGTGTTGGACTATTTTTTTTTTGCTTACCATTTATTCATTTATTATAAATTTAATTATTCTTATAGAATAGTACAGTAAAAAAAATCACAGTCTCAGAAATTAAGCCATCTCTTGTGGAATTCGAAACCACGACCTTTGGATTAGAAGTCCAATGCCCTACCCATTGCGCTACAGGGACACAACGAACAATTTTCCTTTCTATATATGCTGTTGGACTATTATTTTTGTGTTTGCTACTATTTATTCATTTTTTAATTTAATTAATGAATTAATATTTGAAAAAAACTCTATTAACCTCAAGTGTCATCCAATAAAAGTTTTAAAAAACATATTTGAACTTGAATGAAAGAATAGAATGTGTTTTATTAAAGATTGAAAATTTGAACAAGACATGTATATATACATATTTACATATCTTGTTCAAAGTTTCAATCGTTAGTAAAACACTTATATATATATACTAGCCGTTACATTTCCGCTTCGCTGGGTATTTCATGATGTTTTATAAATATATACTATTTTTATATATAAATTATTGATATCTAAGTCCTAGCATTAAGAATTCCATTGTATTGAAAAATATTCTTATACCTGTAACTTTAGCCTCTTGATAAAAAAAAGACAGAATTACTAATTTGTATTATCTAATAATCTCTAAAATTGAGTATAGAATGATGTTTGCACTTTCGTAACCCTATAACCAAGAGGATTTCCGCAAAACTAATTTTAGGTGGATCTCTACTCCATAAAATAAACATGGAAGCCAAATTTCAAATTTAAATCTAATAGAGCAAAAATAAAATTTTTATTATCAATACCCCCCCCCCTCCCTGTAATTCCGTTGAGAGTCGTTCTCCCCAAAACCATTCTTAGTGGATTTCAATTCAACAAAAGGAAAATGAAAACCAAATTCCATTATTATAGTCCTTGTAGTTCGAAAAAAGAAATGTTTTTGTCAACACACCCCAGTAAACACCCCAGTAACACCCCCCCTGCAACCCCCAGGAGTTGATTCCCGTCAAATGCATTCATAGTGGATCCCTATTCAACAAAAGAAACACGCTTAACAAATTTCAAGTACACAGGTCTAATAATTGTAAAACAGGATTTTTTTCCTATAACTCCCCTTGACCCCTCGCAACCTTCCTTAGGGGTCGATTTTTGTTTTACTCTTTGTTTGAGGGACTCTATTCCATGAAAGAAACATGCCTACCAATTTTCAAGCAGGTAGATCGAATAGTTTAAAAACGGAAATGTTTATGTATTACGCCCCTTAATCCCCCAAAATGAAACTTGGGGGTAAATTTTCGTAAAACCCATTTTATAACGGTTCTGTACTCAACGAAAGGAATCTGTTTACCAAATTTCAAGACTGTACGTCTAATAGTTTAAAAATGGGAATACTTATCTATAACCCCGCCCCTTGATCCCCGCAACGCCACTTGGGGGTTTGTTTTCACAAAACCCATTTTGTAGCGGATCTCTACTCTATGAAAAGAATCTGCTTACCAAATTTAAAGACTGTGTCTAATAAATTAAGAATGGAAAAAAATTATCTATAACGCCCCTTGAGCCCCCGCAACGCCACCTGGGGGTCGATTTTCACAAAACACATTATATAGTGGATCTTTACACCATAAAAGATTCTGTTTATCATATTTGAAGACTGTACTTCCAAGAGTTTAAAAATGGAAGTATAATTATCTATAACGCCCCTTAAGCCCTGCAACGCCACTTGGGGGTCGATTTTCACGAAACCCATTTTGTAGCGTATCTCTACTCTATGAGAGGAATCTGCTTACCAAATTTCAAGACTGTGCGTCTAATAGTTTAAAAATCGGAATAATTATTATATCTCTCCTTAATCCCCCCTCAACACCCCTTGGGGGACCATTTTGCCCCAAACCCACTTTATAGCGGATATTAACTCCATAAAAGAACTATGCTTAGCAATTTTCAAGCCGATAGGTCAAGTAGTTTAAAAACGAAAATATTTATCTTTTAAGCCACTTGATCCCCTGCAACGCCACTTGGGGGGCTATTTTCCCAATACCCATCTTGTGGCTGATCTCTACTCTATGAAATGAATATATTTATCAAATTTAAAGTCTGTGTGTCTAATAATTTAAAAATGGAAATTCTATAACGCCCCCGCAACGCCACTTGGAGATGTCTATTTTCAGCAAACTCATTTTGTAGCGGATCTCTATCTATGAAAGGAATCTGCTTATCCAATTTCAAGATTGTACTTCACGTAGTTTAAAAATGGAAACAATTATTTATAACACCTTTTAACCCCCCCCCCGTAACGCCCCTTGCGGTTCGAATTTCGTAAAAAATCTGTTCTTAGCTGATCTCTACTCCATGAAAGGAACATGTCTATCAAATTTCAAGTCTCAAGGTTGTATGGTTCCGGAGATATCGTGATTAGTCAGTCAGTCAGTGAGTGAGTCGCTTTTCTCCTTTATATACATAAATACATATATAAGCAAAAAGCGACTCACTAACTCATCACGATACCTCTGGAACTATTCAACGTACAGACTTGAAATTTGTTAGGAATGTTCCTATCACAGAATAGAGATCCGCGAAGAACGAATTTTTTTTTGCGAAATTTGAACCGCAAGGGGTAATACGGGGGGGGGGGAGTGTTGTTATAAGTAATTATTTCTATTTTTGAACTACTCGATTCACAATCTTGAAATTTGGTAAGCAGATTCCTTTTTTTAGTAGAAATCAGCTACAAGATGGGTTTTGTGAAAGTAGCTCCCCAAGTGACGTTGCGGGGAATTAAGGGGCGTACTAGATAAATATTTCCGTTTTAAAACTACTAGACCTACCTGCTTGGAAATTGGTAGGCATGTTTCTTCCATGGAGTAAATATCCGCTACAAAAAGGGTTTTGGGAAAATTGACCCCAAGGGGTATTGCGGGGGGGGGGGGTGAGGAACATTGTGAACAATTATTCCGATTTTTTAACTATTAGACATACAGTCTTGAAATTTGGTAAACAGATTCCTCTCATAGGGTAGAGATCCGATACAAAATTGGTTTCATGAAAATCGACATCCAAGTGTCGTTGTGGGGCTTAAAAGGCATTCTAGATAAGTGTTTCCATTTTTAAACTACTGGATGTTCAGTCTTGAAATATGACTAGCAGAATCCCTTTCATGGAGTAAAGATCCACAAAAATAAGTTTTTTGAACCTATACGGGGAGATATTTTCGTATGCAAATTCCCCACTTCTCGTAGAGTTGCTGCTGGAAGTATTGGCCACTGTGCGTATCAGAATGTGTGGCTCATGCATGATGGTGCACCGGCACATTTTTCGATTGTGGTATGAAACTACCTCCATTGTTTCATATCCCGAAAATGGCTTGGATGTGTCAGACCTATTGATTGACCTCCATGCTTTCTGGGCATCAATTCCTTGGATTTCTTCTTCTGGGGCCAGCTGAAATCGCTTGTGTGCAAGAAACTGGGGGTTTCTGTGGAAGATCTCATGGCAAGGATTGTCGTTTGCTCAGTTGACATGGCCAATACTCCGGATTTTTTTTGACGCATCCGACAGTCCTTCGTTCATTGGTGTTGACTGTGGTAGGACCTATGCGGGGGTTAACTGTGAGTAATTCCTAAATAATTTCATTTCTTACATCAAGCCGTGATGCATTGTGAACATACTTTATGTCTAATACATGCATTTCTTATCTCTTGTTGCCTTTTTCCTCCCACTCGACATGACACTATTCATAATTGTCCTTTCGAATTACTGCACCTAAACGTAGTGTGTGACCCCATGTTCTATGGTAATTTGCTGTTCCCACGCTACCTACTATCACCCCTTTGAATCTGTCAGTTGAATTCTGCAACATCTTGCTTATCAAAGTATAGTATACGTATCTATCGTGATAAGTGACTTAACAGAATTACTAACTTGAAGTTTAGTTAGCATGTTGCTTTTCCTGAGTAGATATCTGTAAAGAATTGATTTCGTAAAAGTCCATTCTAATGAGTTGTTTGATGGATGGTGGAAATCGACTTTTAAGTGTTGTATGGGATAATTATACTAAAATTGAAGATTACCTTTAATTATATATTAAAGATAATTATATCCGTTTTAAAATTCAAGTCCTGTCCTTTAAATTAGAATTAAAGATTTGCGAAAATGCTTTTCAGTATACCGGGAGGTTTAATTCATGGATATTTCAATTAATTTAAAATAATACACAGTCATTAAATATTCAGTGAAGCAGTGTGTACGCAGCGTTTCTCAAACCATGGGTCTCGGCTCTCCTAGAGGGGCGCGATAACTCTAAGAGGGGGGCGTAAACATATTAAAAAGTCGAAACCAAAAGATTATTTTTTTTAAAAAAATTATTAATTTATTGAAAGTAAACAAAATATATTCTGACATAATAAAAAGTAAAATTTACATTTACACTGATATAATACGTTTATAAACGTATCAGTACTCTGCCTAATGTTTTTTTTAAATATTTAACTTAAGAATATTAAGTTAAGAACAAATTTAATAATTATGGATTCCCCATGGTCACATATAAAATTATATACAAAAATTAACAATTATGTTGATGATTTGTACGATTTATAAATAACTCCTTCAAATGCCAGTTAAAAGTTACTTTATCCACTCCCCAATGCCTCCATTTTCCACGTAGGTGTGCAGAAGAAAGGGAAGAAAAAGAATAAATAAGGAAAATAACGAAATTCTCTAATATTAGAAAATTCTTCGCAAATAATGTCAAAGTCCTTTTATTGTATTCCAAAGCCTTCGGAATAATTTTATAGACAGCAGTGCTCAGAAAATATCTTACTTCAGAAAATCGTATAGATACGTCCGGGTTTTTAACGCACCAGTTGAGTGAGACGCATTGTAAACGCTTGGAGCACTTAATAGGTTAAATTCATTTTGTAGCTTTAGCGTCATAGTATAATACTATTATTCAATTGAATACATTGTTATTTTTATAGAGGAGGGGGGAGGCGCGATATGAAAATTATGATTGAATTTTGGGTCGCAAATATAGAAAGTTTGAGAAGCATTGGTGTAACGGCTTGTAACATCTTATTGTACTTAATTATCTAGCAGAGAACCTCAGGTGATAGCGTAACGTGTTTCATTCCTCTATGAGCCAATTCCCATTATAATGCTTAAATG